CTATGTAAGAACTTTCAAGATGGAGGTGGAATCGATGAGTTGAAGGTAGTAGAGAATGGGCTGGGGGAGTCAATGCAGTGGTCAACTTTGAAAAGCCAAGGAAAGGCTACTTTGGAATTCACGAGGAAGATGGGGGGAGATTTTTTGAATGCTGAAGAGGCCCTTTACATCCATGAAGACATTGGACATGGAGGTCTTTTTCGATGTTTTTTAAAAGTTTGAACGATCGATTAGGGTTCTTGATTAGTTATAACCTTCCAATTATTGCGATTTTGAGTCATCAGCCTTCAAATTTTTGTTTTGCATCCTCAACTCATTTAAATCCATTTCACAACCATAATTCTCCCTTTGAAGGTTGCATACCTAAAATCAACCGATCCCTAATTTTCCACTAGTAATCTCTCTCAAAAAATCATACTCTGCAATCTTGATTCTTCTTTAGTTTTAATTTTTGCTGTGCGAGATAGGTTGGTCGGCGGGTGTGTGAAAATTGAATGATAATAGTCTCTTAAATCTTGGTTGAATGGCAATATATTGTTCAGAGACTCTGTGTTTTAGTTATAACTTTTGAGTGTTAAATTTGCTGCAGTAGTGGCATCTAAATAAACGGACTAAGAACCCTAATAGCTTGGTAAGGATAAGCAGAAATTTCAACAAATTCAAGAAGCATGATCGTGACGACGACGATGAGTAAGTGGAAGTAGGTGTTTGTTTTAGTATGTCCGGAATTGAATTATTATTGTATTTTGGAAAGATTATTTTTCCTACAGTACGTTAATTTTATCCTTTGTACAGGGTTTTGCTAATTTTCTTGAAGAAATGATGTTCCTTATGAATGATGTGAGGAAAGAGGTATAGGTATAGGTATGCCGAGTTCATTTTTAAACAACATTTTCTAGAATTCTCATTTTTTAATTATGTAGAAACCATGAATTTGAAACCTTTGACTTGGCCTTGTTTGGAGAATATTTATAATAAATCTCTATTTCTCGGTGAAGATCTACTAATAGTCCTTTTTGAAAGAATCCAGAAACGTTCTAATACCACTTCAAATTTTAGAGTTACCGAGTTTACGTTCTAGAAACAAATTTTTTGACCTTACGAGTGGAATTAATTAATTAAAGCAACAAGTCACTTCAATTAGATGTCTAGGTGGTTAAACATACAACTCAACTATCCTATGTTTGAATACTGCAGTTTATATAAATTGGAAAGCAATTAAATCAACACACGACATGATAACGGGGAAACCCCAACATCGATAAAACTCCGAGATCAAGCCAGTTACCTTCACTATAGACAATTCAGAGTATACAATGACAAGCCCATCCTTGTTTCCGTTAAGACTTGCTGCCACAGCCTTACGATCTATTGTCTTGTACACCTCTAGCGCTAGAACTCCTGATCTACCAATTGCAACCTCCTATTGCCATAGATTCCTCTAGCCTCCTTCTAGACCTCCAAGTCTACCTCTATCGCCCAATATGTTGTCTCCTAGTGATGCGAACCCCGTAGCAACGTTGACTACGAAATCCACAACGAGATTGACGAACCCAAAAAAGCCAAATTAATCCAAGAGTTTAGGATTAACCCAAAAGAAAGTTGAACCAAAAAACCCAACAAGAACGACGCTTGAAAGACCCCTTGATCATGCAATCCAAGAACTAAATCCGGTTGTTTGAACGCTACAAGTTAACACTTGATAAGTTCGAAATTGTTCAATGAAAGACGATGAAGAGAAGACAATACGCCTCACTTTAATTCAATATCAATAATGTCAAAAGGTTTTTTAACAATTGAATGTAAACTCCTATTTATACTAAACCTAAAAATTAGGTAAAAATCGTGCAAAAGTCGAGCATAATCTCCAACATATGGAAAAGAATCAAAATCTAACAAAATATGGAAAATTGTCAAAATTGGAAAATTCGCCAAATTTTTGGCTTGTGCGACCACATGGTGTATTTCCATGCGATCGCATGGTTCAACAAAAAATTCCAATTTAAGTTTCGGTATACCACTGTGCGGCCGCATGGTGGCCGCACAGGCTTGTTTTCAGCCTCCGATTTCGTCGTTTGATAACAAATTGATCCAAGTTGATTCGACCTTCGACCCGAACATAAAAGTTGCTCCATTTTGAGTTCCAAACATGGTTCCATCAATGGTTTTTTGAACAAGCAATCCCATCACTTGTTTCATTTGCTTTGCCCTTGATCGCGTCATTGGTCCGTCATCGACTATCAACGGGTCTCGTCTCGCACTTGCCTTCGTCGGGCTCGACTCCTGGATCATATCACTTAGTCTGTACTGAATGTCTCTCCAAATGGAATACCAAGGATCGCATGTTCTTGTACTTGTAACTACACTTTAATCCACATTTCTTAATCTCCCAATGAAAGAGTCCCTTCCTCAAAAGAATAAGAAAGACAGATGTTTTGGATTATCGGACCTTTGATGTTTTCCCCAATATGTGGTTGATGGATCTCAAGAATAAATACAATGAGTCAATACTTGGACACGTTCTTGGATCTTCAAAAAGACGATAAGAATATGTTTTCTAAGAGAGGCACAATGAACAACCATAGCAAAATTCGTGCTAGGGCTTGGGTATTTATATTTGAAGGTGTTTTGGTGGTATGGGCCGAGTAAAATACTTGAAAATGTGAACTAGGGGTTTTACCGCATAAGAATGTCACTCGAGCTAGACTCTAGCGAGAATCGAGCCAGAGCTATTCTGTTTTTTCGCTCAAGCGAAAAGCTAGCGAGAATCGAGCGATAGCTGAGCTATTTTCAGTATGTTCATCATAACTTTCTTTCCTGATATACAATTGAGATGATTCAACTTGTGTTAGAAAGCTAATTCATAGGGTTACAAATCTTATAGAAATAGCTCTATCCAAATTCCAATATTTTCCATGCTAAAAATGCACTTCAAATTACGACTGCAAATTTGGAACATAACTTGTGCGGCTCTTTAATATCCTTTAAAGTTCTAATTGCATTCCGATGGTCATATGCGATCTTCTTGGACATCTTGAACTCCTTCAATGACTCGAACACTAATTTACCTCATCTATTCGAAATTAAGTCCTTAACTTTTTGGAATGTAGTATGTAAAATAGAGACTCTCATTTATAAAAGTGATCTCAGTAGAAAAAATATAGATGACTGAATGATCAACCAATTGATAAAAGGTGGTCGAGACATGCATATTTGACATAATTTTAAATTAATGATATTGGCACTCTAAATAAAATAGAAATGTCTCTAATTCTTGAATGTTAGAAAGCCACTTATAGAGTGTCTTTCTTGAGTTCAATTTACAAAACTTTGTATTCACTCTTAAGGGAAATCTGGTCCTTGAAATCATATCACAAAGTAATATTTTTCAATAGGCCCAACTTAATTTTCTATAACTTTAGGTTTGGTATTACATAGTGATAATGGAATATTGAAGTGCACCGTGGACAAGCCATGTTTCACATGAACAATGCCTACTAGGGTCTACCAGATTAGAATTTGTGCCAATTTTAGGCTTATCGCCTTCTTATCATGCAAAATATTTTCTGTTGCGTCCTGCTTCACTTTTTGTGCTTCAAAGTTCAGGAGAAAATAGGACATTGGTTCTGTAGGCTCACGAGATTGTCTTTTTTCTTTTCTTTTTTTCCCCCCTTTTTTGCTTGAAAGTTCAATGGAAAATGAAAAAGAGTTCTCTATGTTGGTTTCTTTGTTATACACGTACTACTTCTATTTGAACAAAAAAGTCATTCTATGACATTAAAACTTGATACAATTGCTCGACGTTGTGAAGTCTTTGGAACTAAATTAGTAGGCTTAAATTTATTTTTCTATCACATATTTAAATTGCACTGTGTCCGACAATCGCGGTCTTAATAAATACTATGTTATCATTGTAACCACACAGCAGCCATATAATCATTAATTAGAAAAAGTAGTCCAAAACAGTTATAATGTGTCAAATGCAAAATTGATTGCAAATTTATTCTTTTTTAAATATCTTCAACATTTAAATATAGTACCAAAGCATAGAAAAAATCCCTGCGTTCAAATCTTTTATTCAACCGTGCTTGATTGTCTCAACCACTGAGATTTAGAGTCGCTATCTATTAATGAAACTGATATATGTGTTAGATATAAAAGGATTAAGGGACGTGTTGGACAATTAATTTTTTCTCATATCTAACATTTTATGTTTTTAAACGAGGTGTTAGTTTAACATATATTAAAGCAGATGAATGTCTTAAATTCAAATTCGGTTGTTGTTGTTGGTTTTAACTTTTACTAATTATCCATCACATCTTGAAGTCTTTGGAATGAAATTATTACTGTAACAACAATATGTTCTTTGGCTAAACTGAATACATGGAAGTACACCAAACACACACCTATATTTTTAGCCGATAATTCAACTCCTTTCCAATTTTCTTGTTATTGCATAATAATTACAAATTCTGCGTTCGTCAAATTAAAGATAGTGATTCAGACCTTCCATGAAAGACAGACTTGCATTCTTTTGTCCTCACTTCTCATCGTCATACTTTGTCTGATTGCTAAATGACAATAACTAAATGCTAAATTTTGACTAAATTCTTAATTGACCATCTTATTTGGCTTCCGAACCATGGTTCTTGTCTCCGTCGTCAGTCACATCTTTGATTTTTCCCTTTTCTGTTTGCTTTCGTGTGACGAGCTTGAACATAATTTTATCTTGTATTTAATTTAGGTGAGAATTTTGTCTTATTGGGAAAAAAAAGGCTTATTTATTATTGCTGTACGATTCTATACCAGATATGTAACAGTAAGCTCTACTGTGTCTCTCTATGTTCAAAATCTATAGTAATGTGGATTAGATAGCATTAGACAATATTGAAAAAGAAGGGAAAAAAAAAAAATTCTTGTTCGTTATATTTTCTAATGTGGTTTAAGATGCATACGAAACATGCATTGTGCATATGTAAAGATGCCCCAACCGGTATATTACACAAACAAGAAGATCAGTCTTATTTTATGCAATTGAAATTTCATATTATAAGCTTATAGATCAAGATAAGTAGGGGGCTATCCAAATGACTGCATCATAAGATTGATACATAACTGGGCTATATCCTGCGCAGAATTAGGTGAACCCCGTGCTGAGGTTGAAGAATTATAACCGTGTGAGGAGCATGCATATAGGATGGAGAGAGCTCAAAAGAGAAACGTTGTAGAATCATTGCCATTGCCATTTTTGCCTCTATCATGGCGAAAGTTTGTCCAACACAAATCCGAGGCCCCCACCCGAAAGGGAAATACAAACCTTGTTTTTTCTGTGCCTTGGACACTCCTTCGCTAAATCTCTCTGGTTTAAACTCCATTGCATCATCTCCCCAGATTTCTTTGTCATGATGTAATAAGACCTTTGGTAATGAAAGCTGCGTCCCAGGTGGGAGCAATAAGTTCCCCAGTCTCGTTTCTTTTTTAACAATTCGTTCAAGAGCAACAGCTGGTGGATACAGTCTCAAGACCTCGTAGAAAATCATGGTAACCTGCAACGAAGATCTCTTAAATGTTAACTCTTTTTTTTTTTTTTCTGATTTAATACTGTACAATAGTATCTAATCCACCTTTCCAAACATGTCATAAGAGTTATAAGCTGGGGAAGTACTGCGAGAATGGTCTATCAAGGTGTTTCCGTCATATTGTATGTTTAATTAATGGAAAATACTTACAGTTTTCAGGTGACTTAACCCATCAAAATCTGGGTTTTTAGTACCAAATACTTGCAAGACTTCTTTTCTAGCACGTGTCTGCCAGTCTGAATGTGTACTCAGTAGAACCAATGTCCAGACGAGCAGAACAGAAGTGGTCTCTTGTCCAGCAAAATAGAACAGCTTGCATTCTTCAACAACCTCATCTATGCTCATTCCAAAACTCTTGTTGCCATGTTGTTCGATTTCATGGATATTTGATTCCAACAATTTGCCCAATAAGTCATCATTACTTGCTTCCCCGGCCTTCATTGCCTCCACCCTTTTACTGATGATATCTCTAATAGATTCTTGAACTTGCTTTTCAATTTCTTTCATTCTTCTGTTCCTCTTAGTCGGCAAAAACCTATAGGCAAGAAATGTATCACTTCAGTGAAAAAAATGATTCTTGTAATTGATGACTTCACGTAAAAATTACAAGGTAGGAATTTCTTCGACACTAGTCGAAAATGCAATTTCTTACCTCCATCCTGGAATATAGATCGACTGGGAAGCCTTGATGAAGTGTTCAGCTTGTTCTCTCTGAAGTTCGAACATCCTTCTTCCTTCTTGGTAGCTACTACCGAATGCCGTTCTTGAAATTGCATCGCTAGATAGATTTTGTAGATAAGGCCACACATCCAACTCACACGTTCCTCCTAGAGAGAGTGACTGTTCCCATTTGCTCAAAATCTCATCACAACTCAAATAAAAAGCTGGCATCATGAGCTGTAGGAAGCAGGGGTGGAAAGCGATTTCGTCAGCATTAAGTGCTCTTTAGGTATGAATTCCTTTCTTTCTTAAGAAAGTACGAGATATTGGAATTAAATAATTTAAACATTAAGCAGTTCTAAGTAAAATGTCTGAGGTAGAGAAAACCTTCAACTTTTCAAGATGGAAAGCAGGGTTGATTATTTTTCTGTGTTTGGCCCATTTATCTTCCTCATAGCTCAATAGTCCTTGTGCAAGCAGCTTGGTCAATGGATTCCTGTTTTCTGGCTTCTGGTAGATATAAATCTTAGTCAGGACCTCCTTTACGAGTTCAGGGTCCCTGATTATAACTGATGGTTTCGGCCCAACCCATATAAAGGAATTGGTACCTGCAAGTCGCAGCACTTTTAGTAATGTGTACTAGGCTCTATGAGTATAGAGACAGTATCAACTAAGCAAAGAAAAGTTCAAAAGTTCGATGTTATACTGTGCAGCATGAACTATTGCGACACTTTAAACATTCACCGTAAGTTAATAGGCCATACCATATTTCTGAATTGTTTTGATGAAAAAGGGTATGACTCTTGGCTTGATATCATCTGGGATATTGATTGGCTTCGATACAGCCTTTTGGACCGCACCTGTCAAATCTTTCAGATCACCATAAAGGAACCGATATGAGTTTCCATTGAGACCTTGCTGTCTCAGACATTTTTCCATCTTCTTGGGCTTAAACCAAACCCAATTCAGCACCCTCCACGTGTATATCAGTAACATAAAAGAAAAACACACACCAATTATGTAGTACAGAATTTCCATGTCCACACCAAGGATCACTGCCCTATTCTTCCTCTAAACCTCGGTACATGAATATATATAGGATTTTTGGATTTTTCTTTCTTTTCATTTCAAAATATTTGTTACTTCTAGGTTAGTGTGTGTCAACTATTGTTCACTGTCTTCTAGAACATTGTTAATGTAATCTTTTGTGAGGTGATCAGTCGAAGAAAATTGACAAACAATAGGACAAAAAGTAGAAAGATGATATTGACACTTGGAGTTTTATATGACACAATCTAGTCCGAATAATCTTTAGTTATATTCAATGTGGGATATATCCTTGACATCCGTCCAAAAGATGTTGGCTCTCATTTGTGTAGGCCAATCTTGGAATTTGTGTGTATTTGAGTCTTGATCAAATCAAATTTCTTGTTTAAATTAAATGGGTTGTAATATCCTATTTAGACTCGGGCTCTACTTTAAAATGTTAATCTTGTTAAAAGAAATAATTCAAACCCTTATATGTTGTTTATCATTCTTATCTCATTATTCAATATAGTTAGGACATTCCGAAAGCCCATGGGAAGAGACTTGCTAAAAAAAAAAAAGAAGAAGAAGAAAGAAAGAAACACGTCCAACGGAGGTCACCCATGATATAACACATGAAAACGGTCGGGAAAAATAAATGTGGTGCACTGTGTTGGCTTTCTTCATTAATATGGGATTTTGTATTTTTAAGAGTCGATTTTGATGGGGGATAAGATGTCCATTGAATATATAGTACAAAATTCCCTCTACACCTATGTATATGAATATAAATACAAGAGGATTTTCTTGAAACTTTATGTTTAAAGTAGAAAATTTAGTGATTATAGATTATTTGTTATCTTCAATATTATTGTCTGTATGCTATTCTTCATTGTCTTCTAGAAGATTGTCTGTGTAATATATCGTGAAGTTAACTCTTGGAGAAGGTAATTGTATGAACAATAAGACAAAAAAAATAGAGATAGGACACAAATCTAAAATGATTGTCATTTTTAATTTAAGAATTTACACATCCAAAAGAGGTTAACGAGCTCTAACGCATGAAAACAACTTAGCCAGAATGCATTTGGAATGTAAAAAATCAGACTTTGAATACACTGACGAAAAATAATCTCTCCCAATTTTTTATTTTTTATTTTTATTTTGACAATGTGCACCTAAGATAATGTTTTGAAAAATTGCAAAAATATGAAGTTAAACCTGAAAAAACTATGTACCAACCTTTCAGTTGGGTGCACCACTCGTGTCTCACTTCGAGGAACTAATTTGTTTTGATATTCATGAAGCTCCTTATGTTACTATCTCTCAATTCCTCAACGCACTAAGTGTGATGATTCTTTGCATCCTAGTGTCCTTGTTGATACTAACCACAAGACAAGTGGGAGTCATATTTTTTTCTATGGAAACATATGGTACTTAAAAGTTTGCATAACAACTCCTTTATGAAATGTTCTACTTGTATTTTTAGCAAATTAGTTTAGAAGTGCTGAGTTCGCAACATTTCACATGCTGGTTGGACAAAAAACAAAGTTAAAATAGCCTATAAAATGTTACCAACTCGGCACCTGTAATCCAATATGTTATTAAATTCTCTTGTACAATTAGCATTCTTGCTCCTTCTATTTCCCCTTTCCTCTTCCTATCAAGCCCATTCCTCTTTGTTCCTCCACATGATGCTGCGAACATCAATCCATTAAATACTTGAAATTTATGTTAGGAAAATAACATGTCAATTGCAAAACTCAATAAAATAAAATGCAACATGTTTCGTTCACATTTTCCTTTACACAATTGAGCAAAAATGCATATTCCATCGCAATCTCTTATGTAGGCATTTTTTTCAAATGCATAATCATAATAACTGTAGAACTTGATATCTTATTTATAAAATTTTGAATGTGTATGAAGCTTTTAGAAGAAAATTTTGATTCTTGAAGCTACCAAAAATTTCCTCTCATCTCTCTCTTTTTCTCGAAGTATGGATGTATGTGCTTGAGAGCAAGTATGTTGAGTGTGTTGTGTGTTATGTGTTGAATGGTGAAGGTATTCATAGGCAGGAAGGGAATGGCGATGCAATTGAATATGGCGATCCAATAAATCATATCAAAATTGGATGAATAATGTCACTTTTTCTATGCCAAAACGAGTTACTAAATGTACTTATTTGTTGAAGCCCTTGATCCCACTAATTTTACAGCCAAAATCCATCTTTAAGCTGTTAATTGAAACTTTTTATTATTCAGACAGAAGTTGAATTTTATTTATTTATTCCCATGTTTAGATTATAAAATATTTGTTTATTTAGTTTTTTTTTTCTGTCTTTGTTTAGAATGGTAAGTTAGAATCCTTTAAATTCTAGAATTAGAATTTATTGTAACTTGATTGTTTATGAATAAGTATTTGAGAGTTTCTCAATACTTCTTATTAATGCAATAGTCTTTACGAATTAACGAATATTTGATGCCCATATACTTGGTATTCTATTGAATCAACATGCAACATTTGTCATTTGAATTTTGCTAAAAGTGTCTATCGCAACAAAAATGTAAGTGAATGCTACCATTGACAAACATAATTGAGATATGGCAACATTTTTTAAAAGAATGTTTCCAATGTCGCCTTTTTGGAACGTTTATTGAGTATTGTGAAAAATTTTATTTTTTCAACACGTTTATTAGCCGTTGTTAAAAGTTCATTCTAAGCAACGTTCAGTAACTATTGCGGATATGTAGCTATACAATTTTTACAATGTTTACTAAACATAGGGAAAAGTTTCTCTTTTTGCAACGTTTAGCAAACATTGTAGAAGGTTTAACTTTTCGTAACATCACAACGTTTACTAAACGTTGCAAAAGAAGAAACATTTTATAGGTGGGTTAGAGTTTTGGATTAAGAAGGCGAGTTGGGTTGGGTTGGCCCATGAAAATCGATTGCAAACTTTTGGCCCAACCCAAATGCCCAATTTTATTTTTTTTAATCTTTTTTTAACAACTCTAGCCGCCATTGGAAATGCCCAA